ACACCTGTCCATTTGATTAATGATAGGAAGGGGGGGGCAAGGTCAAGGGTCAAATGAACAATAGGAATGAAAGGTCAAAGAACAATAGACCTGTCAAAATGTTTGACGAAAGGTGTCTTATAATTCTCTCTAATGTTGTGGGCTGTTTTTCACACCTTTGACATGTTTGTGGGAATACAAGTGGCACAGTGACCTTGTTGTAACACTAGATGAAGAAGGTTCTACAACATCGTTCTCAGTTGGAAGTTTATGATGAACTCGGGTACAGAACACTGCCGTCTTTATTCCTTCACAATGTTCTAGCAGGTGCTGTTTAACCCACACTAGCAAGCTACAGACTACTTCTTATGCAGGGAGAAGGTAAGTTGCCTCAGAGCCATGGTACTGGTGGGAAATGGGGTCAGTTGATGCCCTCATCATGAACCTCATGGCAATTTGAACCAAAGCTATATTGGGTAAAGGTGGCCAAACCAGGTCATGCCGAACCTTCCCGCTAGATCCACCTATTGAGCAAGACAGGCAGCGAGACGGTGAAAACCTAACGGCCTGTCGCTCTCTATTCAGGCCAGGTCACTTCAGGAGGAGAGCATGAGGAGCTGGAAGCGGAGTCTGGAACAGTCACAGGAGAGTGGAGGAGCAGGCATGTGTCCATGCAGCTGTTGGTCCTCCGCCACAAGGCTCCTGAAGGATTGTCGCAACCCACGTAGTTTTAATTGTCCATGGCTTGGCGGGAGAGGTGGATTCCTGTCTGCTGTAACTGAAGCCACCACAAGATCGAAAAACATGAAAAACATTTACACTTTAGCTCTTAGTGAAGTGGTTGTTTGAAGAGAAAATGGGTAACATACTGTTATAAATCCAGCAGGGTGACTTTTAACTAAGTCGGCAACTTCAGTAAACAGCTGCAGAGAGAGCTTAAGCTAACGTTCGTAAGCTAGTTAGCATACCGCTCTCTATGAGCCCCCCCCCTAGGTGCACCACTTCTTCTGATAACTGAACTGACCTTTAACTAGTTGAAGGAATTGCTAAAGATCGCAAAAACAGTTTCAGGCTTTACTTTTCCCTTTGTTTAGAACCCATGTTGCTCACCGTTCACATGTTTAATCCGTCCTGTATGCTGGACCCACATGATTAAAGCCTATGCAAAATACAGCTTCCTAGCATCCATGTTTACACCGGTCTCCTCAAGCCTGTGCCTCAGACAGTGGACATATGCAGGCCACTCTGTCCAGCTGCACCCTCTCTGGTGGGCTTCGGTTCTGCATGACTTCTAATGCATATGTTTTTAATAAAATATAAGCAATATATAAATGACATTAAACTTACAAAAAGAGTTTATATACCTGGGAACAGTTCAGGATATTACAATGTAAATCAGGTTTGAGAACCCTTGATGTCATCATCACTCAGCTTCACACCTCAGACGTGTTTCTTAACCCAGACCCAGTGACAGGAGAACCCACCCTCAGGAAGGAAGTGTCCCCACATGGACCAGTCAGCTCGCTCACTGGAAACTCTCAGCTACAAACAAAACAAGGTAGTGTACACAAAGCACCATGAGGCAGGAAGTTAGAGCGACAGGCAAATCCTCAGTGTGTATCCTGCTCGACTTATCGGCAGCATTTGACACTGTAAACCATGGCTTCCTTTTGTCCACACTCTCTACCATGGGCATCACAGAGAAAGCACACGCCTGGTTTGAATCGTCATTCAGTGTATCTTGGCTTGGACAATCCTCTACCGTGCACCATCTTGCCACAGGAGGCCCCCAGGGCTCTGTGCTAGGACCTCTTCTCTTTGTCATATACACCACCTCACTGGGTGAGATCATTCGATCACATGGCTTCTCCTACCACTGCTATGCAGACGACACCCAGCTCTATCTGTCATTTCCACCGGACGACCACACTGTCTCTGCACGAATATCAAACTGTCTTTCTGACATGTCAAAATGGATGAAATCCCACCATCTCCAATTCAACCTCTCTAAAACTGAACTACTTGTCATCCCAGCAAAACCATACATACAGCACAATATCTCAATCCGAAATGACTTCCTATCTCTGGCTCCTTCAAAGGCAGTTTGAAATCTGGGTGTTGTGATTGATGAACACCTGACCTTTAAAGATCATGTTGCCTCTGTTGCTCGTTCATGTCGCTTTGCGCTGTATAACATACGTAAGATCAGACCATACCTAACACAACATGCCACCCAGCTCCTGGTGCAATCTACTGTCATCTCCCGCCTCGGTTACTGCAATGCCCTTCTAACTGGTCTTCCAGGCTGTACTGTGAGACCTCTTCAAATGGTCCAGAATGCAGCGGCGCGTCTGGTCTTCAATCGGCCAAAAAGAGCACACGTCACCCCTCTGTTCATTGAGCTCCACTGGCTACCGCTAGCAGCACGCATCAAATTCAAATTGCTAACACTAGCGTACAAAGTCCGAGATGGTACAGCTCCCATCTACCTGAATCCTCTTGCAAAGGCTTACGTCTCGGCCCGGCCGCTCCGGTCATCACAGGATCGTCGGCTAGCAGTGCCTACACCACGCTCAGGACAATCCAGACTTTTCTCATGCATTGTTCCAAAAATGTGGAATGACCTTCCAAGCACTACCAGGACAGGAGCTACCTTTTCAATTTTCAAGAAACTCCTGAAGACCCTGCTCTTCAGAGAGCATCTTCTAAGCTAGCACCCTCCCTGCACCCGTCCCCCCTCTCTACTGTCCACTCCTTGTTCCCTACTCTCCATGACTGATGTCAATATTGTTGTTGTTATTGTTGTTGTTGTTAGCCTCAAGGGCCGATTATCACTTGTAAGTTGCTTTGGACAAAAGCGTCTGCTAAATACATAAACATAAACATAAGTCAGTGGCACACACACTGGGGATCAGCACCTATAGACAACAGGCCAACCACCAGCAGATGACAATCATATGTCCTTGTTTTGGTTCAATTAACAAAATTAATTGAATTCTATCAAATTAAAGCAAACAAACAGAACTGTCCTTTATGACCCAACAGATCAACTGTTTCAATTCTGAAACAGATCATGTCTGTGACAAAAGTTGAACAACCTATTTTGTTTAGGAATTTAAAATAGTTTACTTTGAAAATAATATAGATACCAATTCATGATACAGCCTAGTACTGGATGAGGTAGCAGGTACAGTACAGGCCAAACGTTTGGACACACCTCATTCAATGTGTTTTCTTCATCTTCATGACCATGACCATGAACAAAAGGGCCAACAAGTGCTGAACACCTCTGGGAACTCCTTCAAGACTGTTGGAAAACCATTTCAGGTGACTGCCTCTTGAACAGGGGTGTCAAACTCAAACTCACACGGGGCCGAATTGAAACTCTGGGACGGAGTCGAGGGCCAAACTTAATATTTTTTGAAAAAGTGACGGCAAATTTGCACATTTTCTTTATCAACATGTATGCAATTTTGAACCTTTAAATTTGGAAACAAACATATTTCTGCATTAAACTGAATGTGGAATAACCAAATTACACACGAGCAAGTCAGTTACAAATAAAACACATCAGTGGTATTCATTACTTGTGGTATAATCAGCATTTTTAAAATCTATTCAGGATTTATGTTTTCTTGTTTATTCATTTTTCTTATTTTTATTCTCCTTTTATTCTCCTGTAATAAGTGTCATCGCTGCTGTGACGTCTAGCTTTCCCCACCGAGGAACAATAAAGGGATTTTCTATTCTATTCATCTATCTGCAGCCTTTCCACTTCCTGTTTACTGTAGGTTAAATCTTTGCTCACGTGCCAACAACAAAATAAAAATATAATTTTATCTTAAATGAAAATGCAACATCTCACCTGTTAACTTTCATGTTTTGGAGCAGAAAAAGAGCAGAAAACCAACATATTTAAAGCTCAGTTTGCTCCACTGGTTTACTGTGATGCTCACCTGTTCCAGCCAGATACCTGCATCATGGGGTTGATCTGAGCTGAGGAGGAGACTCCTGTTGTTTTGTTCATCTTCATCATAATAATGACAACATTAGATGACAACAGGTGCTCACGTAGGTTTGTGCTGCTGAACATGTCTGAGCAGCTTGACCACGTTGTTGTGTGTCGGGGAGGAAACACGACAGCAACCACAGAGTCGTGCTGGTTTGAGCGTGTCGCTGCTCGCTGGAGTTATATCGGCTCTGTCTGGACGTTAGTTGGAAACCTTTCTCTTTCAGCCGTGAACACGTTACTGAGCGGCTAGAATCTCCGTTTCTGGGCTTCAACGTCAGAAAACAGCTGAGTGAACTCGGTGCTGAGTGAGAGGAGTGTAGTTTGTCCGAGACAGCGGAGCTGCAGACACCGGCAGCAGGCGCTGGAAAAAACACAAAGGAGGGGGCGCGTCTGCTCCGCGCTGGCGCCGCAAAGCATCATGGGAGTTGTAGCCTTTGCGGTAAAATCGGCCAGCGGGCCAGTTTTAATATATTTTTGATATTTATCTCGCGGGCCACATAAAAATGCTCCGCGGGCCGCATCTGGCCCGCGGGCCTTGACTCTGATATATGTGCTCATATTTTTTTTTCACCTTTATGGTTAAGTACATAACTGCTTATGGGTCCATTCATAGTTTTGATGCCTTTAAAACTGTGGTGAAGATTTGAAAAATGCTGTGAAAGTGGGCGTTGCCGGGAGACACGGAGTGGCATGGCCAAGTGTGGGGAATTTCCATCCCTGGAAGGAGAGGGAGTGGGAGGAGACTGTACCGATGACCTGAAATTGTTCCAGTCCCAATCAATCACAAGTTTAAAATGCAGTAGCCGCTGTTCTGCCACAGGGGGCAGCACTAAGACGTTTTTAGACCTAGGGTCTAATCTCAGTTAGGTCATACCTTAAGAATGGGACCAATGCCTCCCCACTCAGCTTTAAGGAGTTGGATTGGGGGATTAAACCACCAACTACTTCCCGAGCACAGCCACTGCTGCAGCTCACCACTCCCCACAGGGATAGGTCACATGCCATCTAGTGTAATGATGACTAATGGGACTTCATTTGACACCTTCTAGAGTCCTGGTGCCCAAGATTCTTTCACCCAAAATTTGAAAAGATATGATTTTTATTCGGCACTAAACCACAGAAATTCCACTCAGTCGGCTAAACAATAACGTTCAAAGCAGTTGCATCGACTGTTTTTGAGTTGAATCAGACTTTTCTCCAGAATGTTGCCGATGAACAGCACTTTATTGTGTTTTTTTTTTCAACTCTTTGACCTGTTTGTGGGTTTGAACTTGGCGGTGTCCTCTTTTCTGAGAATCAAGCCCCTGATATAGTTTCTGATGAACGAACCACAGAACAGAAGAAATCAGTAATTCCGAGATAACCAAACTTGTCATATCTAAATTTAATTGTTAAAGAAACAGAGGAATTAAGAATCAATTTCATAAAGTGTTTTCTGTAGAAGTGAGGAAAAAAATGAAACCCAAACATTAAGACTGAGTTGGACAAAATGCTGATGACAGCAACTTTATAAACAAAAACCACAAACACCTCGCTAAAAACACTCCTGTGGGTGCTCGACTTCCTCCACACTCAACAAACGACTGTTAAGTTTCATCATGTCTGCATCCAACCTCCCGATTATCTCTTCTTCTCTTCAAATCAAGCTTAAAAATACAAAATCACTTGGTCATCTGGCTAATGGCAGCTTTTCTATGAGGTCATCTGGTTGTGTGGACCACTTTGATGTCAGATGTAGATCGGAAATTCAGACAACATTTTCCATGATAACATCCTGGCTGCCCCTTTGGTCCATGACTCTCTGAGCAGCTGTGGAGGAACAGAAACATCTCAAACGATCACAAACACAACAACAAAAAACATCTGACGATGTCCTCTCCACTTTTTCCAAAGCCAATTTTAGTCCCCTGCACTTTTTACCATCCAAAAACAACATCACGCTATATTAAATAGACATTGGTTGACCACTAGGACCAAGCAGAAGACAACCACTTGTATTGAAGCATGTTTCCCATTGGAACCCTCCGTAAGCTCATCTATTGGCTCTGCTGATACTTGCTAATGTGTGATTGGCTGTTCCTGCCACCTGTGTACTTAACAATTCTTCATTCCTGACATAGGGAGCCCAAGTCTCTTCCCTTTCCGGTCGGCTCATGGGTCCCCAGAAGAACAAAAAACTGAATGCAAGTCAACGGGGCTAAAAATGCTATTTTTGAATCTGCTTTGCCTCACGCCCTGGACTGCACATGCAGTATGTTGTACTGCAATTTCAATGAAAAGTAATAATGAGTGTGTGACCACGCCAGTCACGTTTTTTGAGATTTGTCAGCTTGTAAAAGTTCTTAATTAGCATGAATACACACCAGAAATCAAACGTTGCATATGTGACATCACCACATAATCTTTTCTCCCGTAGCGCAGCTGCTACTTACCAGATAGGCTAGCCAGATTTATGGTGGTTCTTTCCTCCTGTGGGAAGTTTTCTGAACTTATAGCCCTTTTCCCTCAGATTTCTCTGTGTCTGGTTCGATGACGCCACTTTAGTGAAGCACATTTGTAGTCCTGGACGTCTTTTCACACAAAACCTAAAATAGCGTTCCCCCCGTTCAAAAATAAGCGCACTCTTGGTATCAATATGTGTCTTTAAAAGTCACGGACATCATATATGAATTCCATAGCCCAAAACAAGCAGTTTAGAAAATAGCCTTTTTAGCCCCATTGACTTGCATTAATTTTTTCATTCTACTGGGGACCCATGGTCCGGAAGTAGATGGGCGTGACTTAGGCTCCCTATTGCATAAAAGAGCCTCTAGGCTGTGGTTATATATCGCCACCTGGTCCTCATGCCAGTTGTATCCCCCCACTTCTAAAGTCAGAACTATGTGCATGCAATAGTCATCCACAATGCTGATGACACTTGACTGTTTATGAAGGGTTTCCTTTATCCAAATTAAGTAAACGTGACTGTTTCGTGAAACTTAATTGAAATATGTTTTGAAGGAAACTTTTAAGAAGAGTTTTCATTTCTGATAAATTAACTTTTTGCTGTAGTTTAGTTTGATTAGAGCAAGCAGTGTAGGAAACGGGGCGGGACTCCTCACCTCTCCTCCTGTCTCTGTAGATGAGTCCGAGTAAGATGGTGGACACCAGGTATGGAGTTCCCACCACCAGGTGACTCAACACCCTGAGGACAGGAGGTGACCCTGAGGCTGAAGGTGATGGAAGAGGAGCCGTAGAGGGAGATTCATTCTTTAATACTGAAACAAAATAATCCATACAAAACTTCCTGTGAGTGAAATTATGTCATCCAAGTATCACACTCAAGTCTTTAAGATTCAAAGGATTTTTCTTACTGAGCTCCACCTGTAGGTGCTTCCTGTCACCTGAAACCACCATCCAGCTCTCCAAGGACTCTCCGAGCCCCACGACGCTACAGCTGTAGAGGCCTTCATCGGATTTGGAAGCACTCTGAATTATCAGCTCTCCTGAAGAGTTGCTGCTGATGGATCTACCGTCTTTAAAGAAGTTGTATTTGGAAGGGTTGGTCGCGGCTTTGCAGCGCAGAGTCACAGCAGCTCCCTCTGACACGGGCAGGGTGGGACTCTCCAGGATCACCGGGCGGTCTTCAGACAAAAACATCCAGTTTTAGTTCGTGTTCGGTTTGTTTTCTCTTTATTTGCGATAACCAGGCGGATTCCCTTACCAGTGATGGTGATGTTGATGCTATTGCTACGCTCCCCCATGTCTGACTCACACCAGTACACCCCCGTGTCTGTTGGGTAGGTGTTTTTGATGAGGCAGCTGGATCCTGAGGAGGCTTGACCCCAGCCGGTGGAGCAGGGCCTGATTCCACCTTCTGGGGTTTTTCTCTTCACCTTCCAGCCAGTGGAGTTCAGCTGATGCTCACAGCTCAGAGAAATGGAGTCGTAACGAAAGAACTGAGACCTGTCGGGGCTGACCTGGAGACAGGCTGCTGGCAGGAGAGGAGGGAAGAAGGAAAGGAGCGAGGAGTCAAAGAGAAGGTAGATAAAATGTGATGGTGGTTAAAAGAAGACAAGACAAGATGTTTTGGTATCAAGAAAAACAAGGAATGAAGGTAAAAACACAATTATAGTAAAATAAGAAGAACAAAGAACCAGGAGCAGAATTAAAGTAGAAAACAAGGAAGTAAAGATCAAAATAAAAACAGAGGATGTGGCAGAAGATGGTGTGAAAGATAAAAATGACCAAGAAATGAAAACAAAGCAAAAACATAAAAAACATTTAAAGAAGAATAAAGGAAACTTTAAAAAATGTGGTTAATTTAAAACCAACAAAAGGAATTCAATAATTTTCTTTTAACTAGATTTATATCTCTATCTAAAGGAAACTTGGTTGAGTTGCACACTAAAAAATTATAAATTTACATTATTTTCCAAATTTATATCTCTGTGTAAAGGAAACTTGGTTGAGTTACAAACTAAAAAATTATAAATTTACATTATTTTCCAAATAAAACAAGTTTAAATCTGCTCTAGTTGTATATCCTGAAGCTGATATCTCCTGTTACAGATGACTAAAGAGACAAAAACCTTCTAGAGCCATAAACAGATGAATATAAAACCAACCGGAGCTGATTTCACTCGAGCGTATGCTCACCTGGCTGTAGAGGTTAGTGAAAATAGTTTTAGATAACAAAGTTATTTACTCACTCAGTATCAGACAGAACGGAGTCACCAGCATCCTGCCCTCCAGCTACTGACTCTGGTTTCTGCACTTCCTCTGCAACATGTGCCACCCCCGCTGTCAGGGTCCACGGATCATTTCCAACCTCAAGTAAAAGGCAAGTTTCACAAAAATAACCTGGTCACCCCAACAGTTTCCTGAACCCCTCCAATTCCCCCAGGCCAGTGCAAAACAACGGGAACACGCGAAGAGACAAAAAATTAAATCGTTACTCTTTCAGTAAGAAGTTGAGGATTTGCAAGTTGAAAATTTTAATTTGTCACTTTGAACTTGTTTGGGGTTCCAGGACTCTAGAAGGCGCTATAGCAAATGCAGACAATTTACCATTTGTGAAGTGCCTCGTGATTTTTATCTTGAGAGGCGTTGTCCCACAAAACCTGCTGCTTGTCATTTGCTACTGCTTCATGAAGAGCTGCTTGCATGCTAACCATGTGTGTGGCACAGCAGCAGCACTGCTTCAGACACTCTACAGAGACGATGTGTAGTTTTTACCATTAATCTCTGGAAAATATCCATCAGAAAGTTGTTAAAAATGAATTACACGACGCCCAGTTGTTGAAATATACTGGCGACTTCATAATAAATAACCAAGAAAATCAGGTCTAAAAAACACGGAGCGGGTTTGTCACGGTCTGCCTGGTGGATTTTCTGTTTTCTTTGTGTTGCAGGTAGGCGCGGCAGACGGCACACCTGTTGGGAGTTTGACTAATTGAGGGACAGAGGATTTAAGGAGCGGTGCGACTCAACTCCAGTGCCGGTTGATACTCACATGGGTAGTTCTCTAGCCTCTGAACCTGCCTGCTTGTTCGTGTTTCCATGTTGATAACTTTAAACTCCGTTCCAGTAACCTGTACCTGCATCACCTACCTTGCCTGGAGTTGTTCCCACGTCTCGTCGCTTAAAGATCCTCTGGACTCCTCTCTCCACGTCTGCCCGCCTGCCTCACGCTCTGAACTCCTCTTCTGGTCCGACCTTCCTCAGTTCGCCTCCGCTCTGGTTCCGATTCCTGACCGTAAGAACTTTCCCAGTCACAGACTCTTTATCTCCTGGTTCTCTGGTTCTGGTCTCGCTCACCTTCTGCTTATATCCCCGTAGATTCCGGTCTCCTCCTGTTCCTGATCTGAAGCAGCGCCTTTAGTTAGTTTTTGCCTTTTTCTATTGTTCCTCATTGTAAATAAACCATTTTACTTTTACTCACCGTTCCTCTGATGTGATTCTTCATGTCCTGGGTGAAAGCTCTTACCCACAGCATGACAGTAAACGCCTGGAACACACCAGCTGCGAAGCAGATCGCTCACGAAAATCGCGAGCTGCCCATTGCTCCTCTGTTCACATCAGGTTAGAATTTCCAACGAGGGCTTCTGCTCACATCCAAACTACCCCACCCTCGTGTCCTGGCTGTGTGTGTGTGTGTGTCTTTGTTTCTTCATTTTCATCTCTCTAGTCTGTTTAGAAACACAAAAACCCACATTTATCAATCGCAGTGTTTTATTTACATCTTTTTCTTTATTTAGTTAAATCTACCAGCCTGCCTCTTCTGTTTTGCTTTGGCTTCCTGCCAGAATTGAAGCGGCTCCTGAAAAAGTTAGAGCTCACGCTGAATCGATTGCTGCACGGTGCAAGCCTTCGTGGCGCTTTGCAGCTCGTGTGTGACGGGTAAAAACTTCTATTAACTTTATTAATGTCTTGACTGTTTAACATCTGGTGTTTATTAAACGTAGCTTCATCCGTTTATTTTACTCTTTGACAGAGAACAGGCCACTGCAGGTCTTACAGGGAGGAGGTTTAGGAGGATGACCTTGCCTTGGTACCGACCTCTTATCAGTAAAACTCCCTTGAGAAAGTTCAGACTGCTTTGTGGAGTTAGAATGCACCTGGTGTGTCTCTTCCTGCCTGAAAGTCTCAAAATGTGTGTGCGTAATCTTTTGTGTGTGCTTAATAAATACTGTCAGAAGGCGTCAGCCCGATGAGAGCAAACTGGCAACCTTGACTGGTGTGTACTTTCTTCCCCTCCACTTTGCAAAGTCTAAATTGATTGTATTGATCGGTATTGGTGTTGATAAATTGATTACCACAACCTTCTGTGCTTCGAACTTTCTCTGAGGTAATCCTGGGTTGATAAAGTTACCCAACATTGTTAGTGCCGTGAACCCGTCGTGCAGTGCCGCCGTTGGGAGGGCCCCGCCGGGGTGCCGCCGAGGCGCCGCTTCCTGCTAAAGTCCGGGAGGCTGGGATTGCTTCCCAGCCGGCTGTTTAGCTCTGCAGGCGACCTTCCACCGCCGGCTCTCGCGCGTCGGATTCGGGGTGAATCCATCGTGCAGGGGGGGAGTAAGTAACTTTTTTATTTCGCACCCTTTTCCGTGTACGGGTTAATAAAAGCTTTCAAAGACCAGAAAGCCGACCTAGCCATGTGCATATCAATCCCCAACCTGACTGCACCCGGTTCAGCCAACGGCCAAGAGACGCAGCCCGTCCAGAACGGGAGCCATCCCAAACAAACGGTTACTACTGAACACATAAGATCTTATCGACTGAGTAGAGGCCTGAGGGTTATAACCGCAAAATAAAAAATAAAATATAATTTCAAAAGGTTCTCCAATTTGAGGTCTTAGTTGTTTTACTGTTAAGCACAACTGTTAATTACTTATTGCATTTGTGACTCACCTGCTAATTTCAAAATGTCCAACCACTGTATTTCATGTTAACAAACTCCCAATTGTTACAAAAGATATTGATTCATTAATTTCATTTATGTATAATACTGAGTGAAACTGATGTCCCCTTATCTAGACTGTGTATAATGATTTTCATTTTACACTTCATAAGGAACAATTCTTGGGATCAAATTATTATAATTGAGCAGTGTTGGGAGTAACGCGGTACAAAAGTAATTAATTACTGAAATGCATTGTTTTTTGCTGTAATGTGGTAATGTAAGGCATTACAGGGAAAGAAAATGGTAATATTTACTCGGTACAATTGTCAGTAACGCGGTAATTACAATGCATTTTAAACCCAGAATTAAGATGCGTTTCTTAAAAATTCAAATTGCGGGAAACCCGAAAAAAGTTCCAGTATCTGCATATATTACGTCATTTATGGACTCAGCTTTGCGGGCAGAGAGGACGCAATGGTACCGGCTCAAATACTCCAGCTGCATCCTGCGCGCGGCCGCTGTAACATTCACAAAATCGCTCCACTAAAACAAAATAATTCACCTGCAATCGTTCATATCAGCGCATGTTCTCTGGTATTCTGTACTTTTCTGACATGCTTTGCCGCAGCTGAGTTAATCTGGGCCCCGGTGATTTTAACTCATTGCTGCTGGAGCGCCGCGCATGTGAAGATCCCTTTGGCTGATTAGTTAGAAAGTAGAAAATCTAGGAAACAGTTTTTCTGGAAGACGGAGAAAACATGCAGCATGCAGTTAGAGAGAGAAAGGGCAGGAAGTTATTCACATAAAATCAAGAAAACAAAACAAAGTGTTGAAAAGAAAAAATGTAGGTAGATTTATCCCCAATACTCATTTTTACCAGTGAAAAGCAATAATATATAAGCATTTAATATTTATACATGTGATAGAATCAGATCACCCCAGAAGACAGTCCCACATCCAGGGCCGTATCAAGGCATTTGGGGACCAAGGCAAATAGACTTGGAGCCCCCACCACCTCACTCGCCGCTCAGTTAATCTAAGATGGCAGCGTGCTGAGAGTACAGATTGTTGGTGCTTTTATTTAATAAACAATCCTTCTAAAGAACTGTTTTTAACAGCAATCCTCGCTCAGACACCACATCACCTTCCACCGGATGTGTCATGAGTTCACCGGGCATCAGATTACCAAACTCATACTGAAGTTGTTTTGTTGAAAGTAATTTAGAGTAAAGCAAAAGTAGTGTAATGCCTTACATTTTAAAATCAGTAATATTGTAATGTAATGAATTACTTTAAAATGAGGGTAACAAGTAATAAATAATGCATTACAGTTTTGAAGTAACTTGCCCAACACTGTAATTGAGATTACTCTTTGGAATAGTCACACGCACGCAGCACCTCATTCGGTGTTCTCCCTCCATCAGGTTGCCTCAGAAACGTTTTTATCTAGGTGTATGGTTCATCATTATTTTTCTTGACCCTAAGCATGGGACCATTTTCGTGAATTGCTCGAGTTGTACAGGATTGGTCCCTACGATTACAGAGATGAACATCTCTCCTGGTTCTATCTGTTTCCTTTTCTGTAAGTTATGCTTAATGAAGCTCTCGTAGAAAATGGTGGATGGTTATGACGATGGATGAAATTGTTAAAATTTTGGTACTAAAATAATCTAGATTACACATCATGTATATAGTTGGTTCAAACTAGTGATCCCACCCTAATGACTTTTGTTTAGCATGTAATCCTGTATTGTTTTTTAACGCATGGTTCCGAATCCTGATTACATGTAATTTCTAGATTCTTGATGTTCAAACTCTTCATATCCAGACAGGGGGAGTTCAGTTGATGACAAACCCACACCCGGGTGTATGAGAGCAGGGTCCGCAGTACCTGTTTGTATTCAAAACTGCAGATGGGGCATTTCCAAAACAAAGTGTGAAAATCACAGCTGATGTGACTCACATTGGTTTCATTTTTCTCCTGTTGTTTCTTGGTGGCCACCTTAATCTATTGGTTTGTTTAATCTATGTAATATTCAATATTTGTTACTCTTTTCTTTTGCTTATGGAAAGCCTTCAAGCACCTCTAGGCTTCTCCAAGTGCTGGGTATTTGCAAGTACCTTTGTTAAACAGTTAAATTGGTTTAATGGTCAACGGTGCTAAGGACGTTGATATCCGGAAGGTGCAATTCAATTGTATTTTTATATTTATTTCTATTTTTATTATTATATAATATTTTCTGACGTTCTGTAGCCTCTGTCGGTGTTGCGCTGCTTTTTTTGGAAACTGAATTTCCCGAAGGAACTCACCCGAGGGATTAATAAAGTTTTATCTTATCTTATCTTATTTGATTTGGTTTTAATGTTTCTCATACACTTTATTTTTCCTTAGATCGATCAATTGTTCTATGTAGTGATGTATTGTGTGATAAATCGATTGGTTTCCTACTGGAAGTCTCAGTTTAACAGTATTCTTTTGTTTGGTTGTGGCTATCTGTTCCCTTTTGGAATATAAACACCAGCTCAGCTCGTGAAGGTTCACTCGAGTTCTCGACAGAAATGTTTATACTTGATAAGTAATTTTTCATTTATCCCATATTACCTTAAGGGCAAATAAACGGAAGAAGCGTTGCGAAGTACATGCCACAATTACACACTTCACAAAAACGGGCCAGGCCTGCTAGCCGCTTGAGCTAAGGGGTAGCAAGGCTGGAAATGCCACCAGACACGAGATCTGGCGGTGCTTTCAACCGTTCTTAGCAGTGTTTGCCTTCGTCATGACTCGTTTTATCCTACAACACAAGCACATCGCATGTTGCACTGCAGGGGTGCCCAATCCTGGTCCTCGAGGGCCAGTACCCAGCATGTTTTAGTTTTAACTCTGCTTCAACACACCTGATTTCTATCAGCATGTGATTAACATGCTTCTGCAGAGCCTGATGAGATGCTATACAGGT